CGGAAGAGCCACCCACAGGGAAAGGCCAGCGCCTTTCCGCTCCCGCCCCGCTCTCTGCCCCACATCCACAAGCTCCTGACATGCCCCCTGCTACTGGTTCTTTTTCACTAACAACCCCCTTCTTCATTCAAGAAGCATGTATTGAGCACCCACTGCATACGCACCCTGGCCCAGCTCCCAGGGGACGGAGCAGATAATCCAAGAGCCCCAGACCACAGGAGCCCAGAGGTCACTGTTCTCCTAGTAGCTCTCCCAAAGGGCTCCTAGATGCTCTGGAAATAACTGTGGGGAGCTGAGTGTGGGTGCTGGAGGGAGAGGGCCAGAAGGAGGCCAGAAGGCTTCCTGGAGGAGGTGGGCTAGAGCCGGGCTGAAAGATGGAGTGGCACAAAGCGGGGAGGGCACAGGCTGAGCAAAGGCTTAGAGGCAGGAGTACCCCAGAGACGCCTGGCCCTGGTTCCCTTCGTTGTGTTCATCCACAGTTATTCGCTTCCACTACTTCTGGTCCCAGTGGTGTCAGGCCTGCCACCCAGCACTGCCAAGCCCCCTCCGCCACGCCGCTCTGTGTCCACTTACTCCAGAGGCCCTGGGACAGGGGCACGCTGCTGCCCGCTGATGTGGGCAGGGAGCACTTCTGGCACATGCATTCCTTGCCGTTGAAGGTCACTCGGTCCCCGGGCGGGAAGGGCAACCTGAAATAAAACAGTGCATTACCAGCCAGGACCACCTCCTGGCTCTTCTCCTGGGTGCGGGGAGCCCCATCCTAGACACCACGCCATCCCCTCCCCAGGGACCACGGGCCCAGGACGCTGGGTGTCTGCATGCAGGCGCTGCCGTGGCCCCGCTGGGCCATCTTAGCCTTAGTTTCCTCATCGGCACCGGCAGGCAGAATCACGGTGCAGTGGGCCGGAGCAGTGGGGGCCGGCCAGTGCTTGCCCACGGCGATCAACTGGGCAGTCTCAGCCATTGGCCTCCTCCATTCAACCCTGCCTCCTCTGACCGCCCAGGATGCTTTGTCAGTTCAATACTCATGGCAACAGCACCGTTTACTGAGCATCTACTAGGTGCCCGGCCAGGTTCTATGACAGATTCCTTAACGCCTGCCTCCTCTTATCACCTTCAAGATGCTTGCCCAGGTTGGTCTTTGCTTCGTTTTTCTCTATGGGTGAGAACATTGAAGTTCAGAGAGGATAGTTGACTTTTCCAAGGCCATACGGCTGCTGCCTGTCAGAACCAGACTCAAACCAAGACCTGTATGGCTCCAAAGCGCCGTGATTTGCCTACCTGGGCCTCTCAGAAAGCAGTGCCGCTAGGAGCATGCAAGGCTGTATGCTGGATTCCGTCTTTAAAGTCTGGCATTTTGTTCATCATGGATTTTTTTTTTTGCATTAATTTCAATTTTTAAAATATCACATTAAAATATCATTTACCTTGATCACTTTTTTGGCCTCCCCTTAAACTCTGCATCCAAAGCGAGTAACCCACTGGCCGCACCCTAGTCCCAGCCCTGGGGCAAGGGGAAGTTACGGCCCTGGGCTGCCCAAGCGAGGCCGGTGGGGGCAGCAGAGCCGGCCCACCTGCTTCAGCCCCGGAACTTTCCCTCTGGTGACAGAGGTGGACCGGCTGCCTGCCTCTGGTGAGCTAGGGTCAGGCCACCTACTGCCACTGGGCCACGTCCTCCCCCAGCTCAGCCCGGCAAGAGAACCTGAGCCCTGCGGGCAGCAGTCTCTGAATTATCTGGACCAGGGCACGCCCCGTCCTCTGGCTTAAGCCTTTGTCGTGTCCCCGCTGCCTCCTTCGGGACTGGACAAGGCCAGGCACAGCCAGGTGCTCGACAGGTCACTGTCAGTGAAAGAATGAGCAAGTAAGTGAACACATCAATAACTGAAGGTCCCCCTGGAGGCGTAGCTCAGCCGCCTTCCCCTGCAGGGCCTCCTCTCAGAGCCTGCCTGGGTCACGCCGGCTGCAGTCCAGCCCCGATTCTGCGACCAGAAGAGCTTTCTGACCCATGAGGCTGCCAAGCCTTCCCGTGAAAAAGTCCCGCCAAAGCCCCCCACTTTGTGGACTGGCGTTCAGGGCCCTAGGTGGATTCAGCAGGTGTGTTCTTGGGCCCCAGCCAGCCAGTCTCGGCTCTTAGGGAGACTTGCAAGATGGTCCTGCCGCTCTCCATCCTTCAGCTGCCCTGGCAGGTATCGGACGCCGTGCGCTGCATCGTGCGTGGTTAGTGCTGGGGTCTACCTCTCTCCCGCTTGCTGTCTTGCAGCCGCCTTGGTAATGGGGGAGTCTTGGGCCACAGCGGGAGTCCCTTGCCATCCCTGGATGCGCTCGGAGAGAATCTCTGGCTGTGTAACCCAGAGCAGGCTGCTTAACCTCTCTGAGTTCCTGTTTCTCACTTGTAAAATGGGACTAAGGACATCTGTGTCTCAGACTGTTATTCATCCATCCATGCATCTGACCTATAGCGTGGAAAGTTCTCGCATTATGCCTGGGACCCAGGAGGGGCTGAATGAATGGTAGCTATTATTTTATTAATTCAACTTCATTGAAATATATGTTGACAAATGTACACACTCATGGAACCAGGACCACAGTCATGGTATATGGGACATGTTTGTCCACTGTAAAAAGCCTGCTGTGACCGTCCACACTCATCCCCCCCACCCCGGCCCCAGGTGGCTGTGATCGGCATTCTGTCCCATGGATCAGACTTGATTTTCTGGAACTGCATATAAATGGAATCACACAGTATGCAGTCTTTGACGTCTTGTTCTGCTGCATGTTTTTGAGATTCACTCACACGGCTGCACAAGAACACCACTGGTCTGTTCTTTTTGATTGTCAAATGCTGCTCCTTTGCAAGGATGAGCTGTTCACGTCCAAGGACATTTGGATTCTTTCAAGTTTGGGACTGTTACAAATAAAGCTGCTAAGAACGTTTGCTGACAAGTCTGTGTGGACGTGTGCTTTTGTTTCGCCTGGGTAAATACCCAGGAGTGGAATTGCTGGGCCATGTGCTAACTGTGTGTATAACTTTACAAGAAACTACCAAACTGCTTTCTGTAGAGGTTGTACCACTTGGCCTTCCGACCAGAGACGTGTGACAGTTCCTTTCACTGTATCCTCACCAACACTTGACACTATCCATCTTCTTACTGTGAGTCATCCTAGAGGACATTGGATGGTATTTCAACAAGTTTTACTTGGAGTATCTGCTAAACTCCTTTGCTCATTTTTAATAGTTTTTTTGGTCTTCTTATTATTGAGTTGTCGAAGTTCTTTATATATTGTAGATACCTGTGTTTCACCAGATATATATCCCCTATTAAGCTGATGGCTTGCTTTTTCATTTTCTTGATGTCTTTTGATATTATTTTTCTTCACTTTTCTATAGTGTGGGTATGCTGGCAACAAATCCTCTTAGCTTTCGTGTGTCTGCAAAAGTGTTTTGCCTTCATTTTGTGTGTGTGACAGCTTTACTGACATTATTTTATTCATGTGCTCTATAACATTCACATACCATTCAATGTGTGCAATTCAATGGTTTTTAGTGTATTCAGAGTTGTGAATACACAATCAAATCCCCACAATCAATTTGAGGACATTTTTCATCACCCCCAAAAGAAATGCAATAGCATTTGGCAGTCGTGCCTTCATTTCTGAAAGTTTTTTTGTGGGGGAGGCTTGGTATAGACTTGTTTGATAGATTTTATTCTTTCAGCTCTTTAAAGATTCTGTTCTATCATCTTCTGGTGCAGATTGTTTCAGATGAGAAGTCTGCAGTCATTCTTCTGTTCCATTTTACATACTGGGTTGTTTTGTCCCCCACTTACTGCTTTTAAGATTTTCTTCTTATTACTGTCACTCAGAAGTTTGTTTATGATGAAGTTGGTAGGTTTTTGCTGTGTTTATTCTGCTTGGGATTCGCTGAGTTTAGAGTTTTCATCAAATTTGGACATTTTCCAGCCATTATTTCTTCAAAAATTTTCAGTCTTCCCCGCTCCCAATCTAGACAGAAAAATTCATATCCACAGATCACTGAGTCTCTTTTCATATTTTTCAGTCTTTTTTCCTGTCATTGCTTTAGTTTGAATAGTTTCTATTGTTATGTTTTCAGGTTCACCCATCTTTTCCTCTATAATATCTAATCTACTGCTAATTCCTTTCAGGGAATTTTTTATTTCAGAAATTTCAATTTTCATTTCTATAATTTCCATGTGGTTTCTTTTCATGTCTTCTATAATGCTCCTACTTACGTTCATGCTTTCCTCTGAACACTTAAATATATTTACATCCGCTGTTTTAACATCATCGTCTGCTAGTTTCACCATTGATCTCATTTCTGGGTCTGTTGCTATTTGACTGATTTTTCTTCTGGCCCTGGGTCACGTTTTCCAGCTTCTTCCTATGACCAGTCGCATTTGATGGGTGTTGGACATTGTTGATTTTATGTTGTTGAGGGCTGGGTTTTCTTCTCTGTCTACAGTGTTATACTTTACTTTGGCAGGCAGTTAGCTCACTTGCAGGCCAGCGTGATCTCTTTGAGGCTTGTTCTTGAATGTGAGCAGGTTTATGCCTTCACTCTAGGGCGATTTCAGTTCCACTAATAAGGCATGATGCTTTTGGTGTCCCCACTGCATGCCTGGCCAGAACTCGAATGTCTCCCAGCCCTGGGAATGTTTAGCGTACAGCAACCTGGTCATTTTTTGCCCAACCTTGTGAAATTTCCTCTCTGTCTACATGGCTTCGTGTTCAGTCCAAGAGTCAAAGGCACCTCTATGCAGCTCTCCTGAGGTCTCGTTCTGCATAGCCCTCTCCCCTCTGCTATGCTGTTCTGCCTCTTACATCACTGTCTCTTAACTTGGGGAGGATGCCATGCCCTACTTGGTTCCCTTCTTGTCCTCTGGTTCAAGAAACAGCCTCCAGGCAGAAAGCTGGGTGGTCACAGGGGTCCCTTCATTCGTCTTCCTTCTGTTAGTCCTGAGCTGCCTGAGCCCCAGTATCCCAAAACAGTTGTTTTGTATATTTTTTCCAGTTTTCTAGTTTTTTATAGTGGGTGGATAAGTCCAGGCCCAGTGACTCCAGCACGACAGAGCTGTCAGCTATTACTTTTAAAATACTGGATTACAGAGGTGATCTTTCAAACCCACTGTGATTATGTCACCCCTTGTCTCTAAGCTACGTGCACAGAAATCAAACATGCAGATTATCCTTGGGGGAACCTTGACCCACGCACGCTGCAATGACATACAGTGACTCTCCCGTTAGAAATGTCCCTTGTCATTGCGCCTTCCTGGCCCAGCACCTCCTCCCGCCCCCACCCCCAACAAAAGCTTCCCTTTCTGCCTAGAGCACGTGCCACAACTACAGAAAACAGCGGTAACAGCACTCAATAAGTCCCCCTTCAACTGGGTGTGGTGAGACAGAGAGAACAGACAGAGAATAAACTCTGGGGGGTTCATTCTTCGTTTTCTAGACAGAACATTCCCCCTGGGAGCAATGTGTCTGGGGCTGTGGTGGGTGAGAGGGAGTGGGGGGAGGCAGGATGCCCACGTGGGAGGGCTGCCTGCTGCTGCCCCCAAGCCCCAGAGGTGCAGGGCAGAGAGGGGAGCGGGTGTAGCCCTGCTGCCGGGGCTGAGGACCTCATTCTGTCTCTAGCGGCCATTCACTGGACACCTGCTCCGTGGCAGGTGGCAGGTGCCAGAGAAGAGTCAGATCCAGTCCCTGCCCACGTGGTGCTCCCGTCAAGCAGCTCCGGGACACCGTGCCAGAGAAGGGTTGTAGGGCCCAGGATGCAGGGGAGCCGTGAGGACGGAGAGGGAGGGGAGGCTGTGGGGAGGCAGCCCTTGCTGCACTGATGTGTCCCCAGATGCTGCGCCCGTAGGGTCTGGGCTAATGCAGCTCCAAGTCACCAGAGCCAGCCTGGGGCCTGGCCCACGTAGGCACGTAGAAAAGCCTGGACGAATGAATGAATGAATGAATAAAGGAATGAAGGGACTGGAACAGACTGTGAAGCTCCTCTCAGCCAGGCTGGGAGGCTCAGACTTTCTCGTGGAGGCCATGGGGGTGGCGCGGAGGAGTGACAGGCAGAGGGAGAACAGGGACCCCAGTTTGGAGGCCTTGGCAGGACTCCAGGAAGGTGAGTTCTGGGTCTGAGTAAGTGGCTGGGCAGATTTTGGAAGTTCATGGGGGGGTACCTGGGGAGACGCCCATGCTTGGGGCTCATGTGCCTGGTGGGTTGGGCGCCTATGCCACCTACAGATCAGGGACTTGGGTAGAGAGAGGCGGGGTGTGCGGGTGGGCACGGAGAAGCCAAAGCGCGGACACTGCAGGCACCAACGTGAGGGGAGACAAGGTGGAGGCTGCGGACAGGAGAGGGGCTGGTGGAGGGGCACCGAGAAGGCACAGGCGGGGGGAGAGCACCTCCCCAGAAGCCATCAGAGGCCTCGTGCTGGCAGCCTCAGAACCCACGGGCCTCTGCCTCCTGGAAAGAGGGCTTGGTCCTGTGCTGCGGGCAAGGGGTGGGGGCCCGCAAGGTGTGCGGCTGGATGAAAGTGTGCCTCAGAGCGGGGCCAGGGTCCCTTGGCTGGGTCCCACCTCCTTCCAGGCCATATGAGACAATGGGAGGGAGGGAGGGAGGATGGAGGGAGGGAGGATGGAGGATGAAGGGGGGAGGGAGGGGGA